CCGTCGCCATCTCCGGTCACCGTCGCTCTCCCCGTCGTCTCATCCCATTTTTACAGACTCATCTCCCTCCTCCCCATCTTCTACCTTCTCACCATCTTTTCCCCACCTCTCATCTGCCTTCACCATCCCGTCGCCACCTTATCCACCAAAATCACAGCCCACTTTATCCACCAAAATCACAGCCCACTTTACCCACCAAAATCACAGCCCACTTTACCCACCAAAATCCCTCGTTCAATTCATCGTCGTCGCTTCCCTTCCTTTCAAAATTAAACCCTAAAAAGAAATCGAGTGTACCTGTCGATCTCCTCACAGGTTTGATGGCGTGGGAAATGGTGTCGTCTTTTGTTCACCATGGCAGTTCTTCTTCAAAGGGGGTATTAAATGATTCTAGGGTTGGATTAATGGAAGCCATTGAAGGGAGTTTGAATCAGAACCCATGTTTTTTTTCCAGAGTTTTTAAGTATGAAAAAGATGATTTTGAAGATCAAGAAGAAGAAGGTGTTCATGAGGCTTCCCATGATTTGGATGAAGTTGAATCGAATACGAATAATGGGTTTTTGTTATATGAGGGTTAAAATGGTAATTTATTGTCATTCAGAGAACAGTTACCAAACAACATTATTTTATTCAGCACTTAACCATTCTTACCCTCTTAACCATTCTGACCTCTTAACTATTCTGCACTAAATCATTCAGCAACTGCCAAACAGCCCCTAAATCATTCGGCAACTATCATAAGAAATAACTATAAGAAGAGAGATGGTGTGATGAATTGAAAATAGAGGGACTAATTTTGTAAGTTAATTTGGCAGGTCTCCTTCGCCTTCGAAAATCCCTGTTTCTTTCCCGCCTCTTTCAACATTTCTCCTTCTTCCTCTCTCGACCACTCCCTTCTCTCACACGCTAATGGAGGATTCCGCCACCATCACCGAATCCTCACTGCTCTCGGAACTCCAATTCTCCACTGATCTCTCCTCCATCCACCACCGCTTCTCCTCCTACCTCGACCCCTTCTCCGCCGTCCTAAATAAACCCAAGAAACACTCCAAATCTTCAAAAATTGAAGCCGAAGCATCAACTATTATCCGCTCCTTAGCTAAGAAGTTCCTTCCTTTTCTTAGCAAATCCCTATCTATCCTTCCGAAACGCCTCAATGAAACACCCAAAATCGATTCTTCTTATGCTTCGGAACTCTTTGAAACCTACAGACTTTGTCTCAGTTGTTTGGACGCTGTTTCGTCGCAGCTATCGTGTAAACCCCACTCGGTTCAGATCCAGCGGGTTCGGTTGATACATTGCTATGAAAATTGGGGGAAATATGAAGATGCGCAAGATGAAGGGTTTTCGGTGCTCGAGTTTATTGGGAAATTATCGGGTAAAAAAAGTGGAAAGCTAAGGGGACGGCTTCTTCCAGAATTAGGGAAAGATAATGATGACAAGGATGTCGCGATGTTGATCCTAGAGGTCGTTGTGACACTTGTCAAGTGTGTTTCAAATGCTCGAAGCAAAAATGAGGAAAGTTTCCATAGAGTATTGTCCATTGTTAAGGAAATCCAAGAATTGAGGTATAGTCTTGCATACTTGCATTTTCTGTTTATAATTGCATCAAAAGTAGCTGGCAGCATGGTGTTGGGATGTTCTGATTATCAAAAATCATATTAAATACAAAAAATATTGCATTAGTATTAACATAGTTCAAGTGCCACCATATAAACCTATCGATATATAGCATATGTTAATTCATATGTTTCATTTTTTACTACATAAGTAATAACAACACATGATATATATATGTAGCTGTTAGCAAATAGATATGTGTATGTTAGAATATGAACATATATCTACTAATAGCAAATGCAATAGAAATCTTGTAGAAATATAATGATTTGCAGTAGAAACTTTATTTTGCTTTGTTGTTTTGAGTGTTGTGTTGCGTAATGCAGCAACAGCAAATTACATAATCATATGCCTCTTAAAGATTTTATGCTGTTATACTTGATCATTAAAACCTCAATTTCCTAGAAGGTTTTGTTTTAATCTGTTATATACTTGGAGATATTGGTTTAGTGTTTAGACTTGCATCTTAATATTAGAATAAAAGCTTGTCTGAAGACCAGTGTGATACCCTAGATGTTAAGAACATCTCCAATAGATTTGTTATAATGGAGAGAATAGATATCTTTTAGATTTTTAGGTGGAATTTGGCTCCTATAGATTCTCCAAATGCATCTTCAAAATGGAGAAGGTGGGTGAGAGAGAAGGTAGAATTCTTCATATTTGAAGTAACCTCCAAACATAATAGCAATAACTTTTTGCGCTTTCGTATAAATGTTTAAAATTCTATAGTGATATTAAATGCATTGAATATTTTAAGACTGTAATCTTCAAAATAGAGAAACTATTGGAGTTGAATGCAATTCTTTTTAAAGATATTGATTTTTCCCCTCTGTTTTGGAGAAATTATAGTAAATATGTTGGAGATGCTCTAAGACCTTTTAATTTTGTGCAAGCTTAGACAATTAATCCTATGCTCTCACTATTCTCATTTAATTAGAAAGTCCTTGGATAGTTGAGTACCCTCCAAAATGGGATTTTTTAGCTTTTGGACTCACATAGCTCACAAAGAGAGATCATAACTAGTGGCTCACAAGTGCATTGCTTATACAACCCTACACAACCAAACCAATAGCTAGAAAACAAGTAGCATTTTACCAACCAAATGACTTGTTCTTGATACAAATGAAATTAACTTTTAGGGTAAGTACTTGCACAACAACAAAAACTCACCAATAAAAAGCCATTAAGAACATCAATTGAACTTTACAGTCCATTCATATTAGAATCACAAAATAAGAGACAAATATATGATCATCGTTTATGTTGTCAAAATGTAAGTAAGCTCTTTTATGAATATTGTAGAAATTGACATTGCAAGAAAAAATAAATAGACATTCTTTTGCTTTCTAGGAGAGAGAATCAGTGAAGTGAAGGGTCATAGAACTTTCAATTAATTAATTTTTATATACTTTTTGAATAAATAGTACTAATAAAAAAACTGGGGCCTCTATTCTTGCTTGTTGGCCCTTGGGCAAGTGCCCATCATGCGGTTGCCGAGGAACGGCTCTGTTCATTGCAAGATTGAACAATAATTACCTTTCAACGTGACCATGATTTGATGCAACCTTGAAATTAATTATTATATCATTATATGATTAATGGCTAGTACATGATTATTTGCTTAAAAGCCACCGTAGAAACTCTAGGACGTGCATGCACAAATCCTGGTATCCATGTGCATCAACTATGGTGACTTTATTTGAAATGTTGAATTGTAAACATGACAGGATTATAGACGCGGATGCACATGAGAAGTTGCACAGAATGCTTGCGACATATCTGAGTAAATGTGCTTTGTTTCTGGTTGGGGAACTTGCAAGCTTTGACGGGAAGCTGGCCCATGAGTTTTGTCTTATAACATTTTTAGAGTTTACAAGATCGTCTATGAATGATCAAATGGAAAAGGTGAAGCGCCATTCTTAAAGTCCACCCCACTAATGCCTTATTGAAGGTTAATGGGTTTGTTACATGGATTTTCTTATTTATACTCTATACAGTTTGGACACAGGATATGCTCTTCACTTTTTTCACAATTGGACAATCAACCTCCATTCAGTCTAGGCATACTTACTTGTGTGTTGGATGCTATGGCTCATGAATGCAAGGTAATCATCTAAATTTTTGTTGTGTTTTCTTCAATCTGAGAGAAATGTACATGAAGCAGTTTCTTATAAAATCACGATGACATTTTGCTGGGAATTAGGCTAATCATTCCATTTCTCAATTCATGTGCTCAAGTAAAGCCAAATGTTCTTAAGTTCTATTTTCCAATGAGAAGTGTGGCAATTTATTATGCGAAAAACTGTGTTAAGGATGTCAATAGTGTAAAAATTTTGTTTGAAGGAGCAAAGTTACATTTTGGTGTTCATTATTAATACTGCCGTGCCAAGTGCTTCATACCAGCATATTGTGATTCTTTTGGTTGTTATGAGCATCTAACAATATGCTCTACAATTTGGAAAAGAAGATATAGGAATCTTGTGAGAAAACATAAACGAACATGAAATTAAATCACAAAAGATTTGATATTAGTTGTTCCCATTGTATATACTTTCCTTGTTTGTAGGATTAGATTTTATTCTAGCATTTATGTAAATTATTCCTCTTAGCACTACAAATATGTATTATCTATTATGCAAGAAAATAATAAAAAAAGCTTTTTCAATTCCATTACTTCTTTACATTATTTTTTATTAATATCCAAACAATATTTATTCTTACTAACAACCCATCTGAATAGGATGTAGTTTAAGAGAATTAAAATCAAATGAGAGAATCAAAGGAGTGTGTGCCTGACAGAGTACTAAAATTCTTACAAATCTTATCAATTCAGTGTTGGGCTTCTATTTTAACAGATTCTAGGATTCTGAAAAACTAATCCATGGAGAAGATGAACTTGCAATCATAGGAAGAATTACGTACATTTATTCAACTTAGAAAAGGTTCTCCCACCAAAATTTTCCTTATAGTTCTGTTCTCTTTCTCTTTCTCAATGGAACATTTGTTTGATATGGAAGTGTCCTAGAATAACTAGGTTTTATGACTTTATATTTTAACCTCTTTGTTACACATAAAAACAAATTGCTTCTTAAAGGTTAGATACATGTGGGTAGTGCAATATCAACAGTATTAAAGACCAACATTCACTTTGACTGTAAAGTAAATGAGACTCACCATTGTGTTGGATGAAAATTCTATATGATATAACAAGGATAACAAGGTATTGTAGTTCACACGTTGTTGTCTAGATCCGCTGCATTTTCTTTGTTTCTGGTCTTGTGCTGGCCCCACATACAAGTGATGTTAAGGAAACGTCTCTTGCGGATTTTCCTTACCAATCTGCCAAACACAATAATCGACAGGTATACCTCATTGGTTATAATTATGCTTGCCAGGTCGGTAAGGAGAAGTCTCTTATAGATTTTCTGGAACTTGTCCACTATTGTGCCACTGCCATCAAATGTCGAAATGCAACTGTAGATTTTTGTGGCGCAGTTGCAACTCACTTCGACAAACTAGCAGACGACTTTTCTCAGGTATTTGTTAACAGGTACTTTTATATGTGTTTTAGCTTGCATGTTTTTCCTGCTAGTATTATTAAAAGAATCCAGTTTTTAGTAACAGTCGGTTTGTAGGTCAATTTATCATCAATCATGAGGCTTTACAGTATCATACTGTCCATCAATGACTTGAATTCTCATTCAAGAGGGGGCAACTCCAAAATGCCGAAAGCTGGAAAGGATATTTCTATCCCCAAGGTTTTGCTTAGCATGGAGGATCAGCTACAGAGGCTAATTAACACCCATGGCTCATATAAACTTAGTGCTGAAGAGCTTGAAAGCACCTATAAGGCTTTGTACTTTACTGCATTAAATTTTTTGTGTGAGCCACTTTCTGAGCTAATAAACTCTGAGCGTAAAGATATACTTTGTGGACTTGAAGACGTGTCGTTACCTAATATTCAGGATGCTTTTCATCAGTTCAGACTTGTTTTTCTTGCTTACGGGTAAGCCAATGGCATATTGATGTATGTAATTTTTTTGTTTGCTTTTATCATGATTCATTAAGGCTTCCACCAAAGTTAAATTTTAATGTGTCAGCATAACAACATGGGAAGCCAAGAATTGAACTGTGTTGCTGTGCTTCTTTTATTCTGTTACGTTTATTTACCACTTATATGCTGATTTAGCTACTTACATAGTTTCATCTCTTTGATTTACGGATGCAGTGATAGGCAGAGAAATGTATATGAGGACAACAGCCGAGCTGTACTCGCTGTAGCTTCAGCTGCTTTCACACTCTCATATACTACAAAGCAAAATGCCGAGGTTAATATTTATTGTTGTATCTTGATGAACACAATTATATATTTTGTTGTTCATATTCTTGATGGTTGCAGCAAATATGGTAGCATATCCAAAATATATATCAACCTTATGTTTGTCGTTACTCATTGCAGGAGAGTACTAATTTTCTTACACATATTATCAAAGCTGATTGGGTCCACGCCAATGGGCTGAAATTTCTCTTTGCTTCTTTGCACAATGTTGGTATAGTTTTGTACAGAACTAACAGATTAAAAGAGGTACTACATATACCGTTGTGTATTACTACCTAAATCTTTAATTATGCATCAACATCAGTCATAGCCTGCTATTTTGGGACATTGGTTTGGTCTTAGTTATGTGAGTTTGACTTGACAATTTGTTGAATAAATATACCACCATCTCTCTCGTTTTTTTCTTTACTTTTTTTTGTCTCCGTTATTGTTATGTGAGAGTTGGTTATTTACGGTAATCTTTAGCCATCATTTATTACTCTTTCTGTCCTAAAATAAGCCCACATTTCTCTTTTGGTTCGTCCCAAAATAAATGTTCACTTTCAGAAGTAAATGCCTACTTTCTAATTCTTCCCTTAACTATGAGATTGAAAAAGTTCATTACTTCTATTAGTAAGGGTAAAGTTGTCATTTAGTTAATTAAAAATTACAGTTACACGTCTAAAATTGTGTGTCTTTTTCATTGTGGACATTTATTTTGGGAAGGAGGGGGTAATAAGCTTTCACTTTTGCTTGTCAAGTTATCAGTAAAGGCCTGCCACTTCTGTATTATAATATTTGTGGAGATGAAACAAAAGGTGGATAGGTTATAGCCAATTTATTAGAAGCCTGAGTCTTCTTTCTGCTCTTTGTTTGGTCTGTGTTTTTATGCACTTTTTGGGCTGGGTAGAGTAGCAAACCATTCAATACTACTTTTATATCCGTAGTTTAACCTGAAGTTATTAATGAAGTTCTGTTCCCTTTGTAACTTCAAGAAAAGAAGAGAAGGGAAAGAAAGTTGGTTGGGACTTCCGCTTAAAATGTTTCAAATTGCTTTCCTACCTTTCGAAGTAAAACAGCAGTGGCTTATATCACAAAGAGTTGATCACTAAATCATTTCAAGTGAATAGTAAGGATATCAAAGAATTGATTATGAACTGTTACATGTGTTGTTAAATCTGAAAGTCTATAGACACTGTTTGGGATGTTGTTACTGCATATATTTGAGTGGAATGCTGAACTTGCACTTAACACAACATGCTGTAAAATTGCATATATTCTAGAAGGATGAATACAATCTGGAAAACACATGTACAGTTGACGAGTAGCCATATTTCTAACTGAATTAATCACTTTTCAGTTTTCCTGTGTTGACTTTGCCTATGATAATATTGTATTTGGTTTCGAGATACCAATGTTGGCATATGTTGTTAATAGGATATGTCGACGCTGGCACACCATTTGTTATTCTCTTGTCAGTTGTCACCATGGTTTTGAGTTCTCAATAGTGATGCATTCTGTCTGTAGGCTACAGAGTCATTTAAATTATGTTGCGAAGCAGCATGGAACTGCGTATTACATTTTTGCAAGATGTTTGCTTCAAGCAGAGATGGGTGTTCTAGTGATGTCTCGGAGGATGTCATAGCTGGTTTTGTCACCGAGGCATGTGCAAAAAGTGCTTTTCTGTTGGACATACTTCACCAATGTGGTAGCAAGGAGATAAGTGAGATCCTTGCACATTATCTTAGAAGTTGGTTTGTTGCTCAAAGCTTGTTTGCCAAGATTCCGAGCCCGGAAGCTTTGGTTAAACAATGGGTGAAGGTAAGTAAAAAAACATCTCCTTCTGGTATATTTAATGTACATTGTTTTCTATCGGATTTATTGTTGCTTGCAGATAGAATGTAAACGAATAAAAGACCCTGAAGAAGCTGAGCATAGGGTTCCAACCTTATATTCTCTAATGTCATCTTCGGAAGTGTCAAAGGAAACTCTTGGTAGTTTATTAGAGCAGGTTCTCTCTCTCTCTCTCTCTTCCTCGCTCTATATGTGTGTGTGTGTCCTTTGTGTATTTTTTTAGAATCCCATTTTAATGCTCTCTTTATGGCACTCATTGCAGTTTTGCAAAAACTTATTTTTTAATAAATATAATTGTTGAGATCTGTAGCTCTTTTGTTTAGGAGCTTCAAGCGTATAAGGAAATGAAGTCTCTTAATCCAAAATTAAGTAAAACAATGCAAACGACTATCACAAACATCCTCTTAGAAGAGATCTACAGTACAAAGGATAGCTGCTTACAAAAATCTAGGATTCTCATTGCAAAGGGAATGGAATCACGGGCATGTGGAGTTGAAGGTCTGAATGGTTGTATTAATTATTTATCTGAAGCAATATCTACACTGGTAAATTATCTTCAGTTTGGATTCTACTTTCTTTATTTCTTCTTGTTGCTTCTTTGATTCCAACAATTTTTTTTGCACTTCTTTGTTTCTCCCTCTTTCCCGTTGTTTATTTTCTTATGAAATTATATACTTGTTGAGCCAGAGTGACTTGTATAACAAGAGCAAGGACGACCGTGGTCCAATGTGCTATCTATTAGCTGAGGCTTATTGCTTACGTGCATTGTGCACCCAGGAGGCGGAACCAAACTCAAAGGTACTACTTCGTAGAAAGCTAAGGTGTTGTATGTTTACAACTTCATGAGTTAGTTGTCCGAGCGGCTTATTCGTTTAGACATATGAGTATGTTTTTTTATGACGGGTGGCTTAATATTTTTAAGCCACCTTGGTTACCATTCCACATTAAGCTAAAACTTCTTACATTTAGGCCATTTGATTTTTTGTGTTGAAATTAGTTTGATGATACCAACATGACCTTTTTACAAAAATAACACATATGATTTAGTTTTTACCAGTTAGCTTTGTCGTAAGAGTAAAAACGATCACATCTTCAAATATTGCGTGTTAAATTTAAAATAATATATGGGAAGCAGGAATTCTATCAGTAATGAATTTATCAATTTTATTACTAAATCAACCATTTCACAAATTGACGGTTTTTTGTCATTTGGAATTTTCTATTAGAACGTTTATCAAACATTCATTTTTCATTTAACACTTAATCCAACCATGGATTAAAATGGTCATTTTTTTGCCAGAGGTCCGGTCCTCTTTCCAAAAAAAGGACTGTTTATTCAGCACTCAAGCAAACAATTAATCATTTACCAAGCATACAGCTTTTTCTTGACATGTTTTAATGGGAAAAAAACAAACATTGTAAAATTTTCATTCATGTATCCTTGTATCACATTTTTTTCTCTTCTATTTACTTTTCATGGTGCAAACAGCATTTTATTCAAGATATTGACAATGCCGTAAAGCTATGGTCGAGCCCAGATTGTTCTCAATCTGCTGAAGATATGGTGTTTCAGAAGACTCTTACGTTGCTGCATTATGTTGTTGATTTGATATCTCTGAAGGTTCTTTTTCTTGTTGGCCTTTGTTTTTTTTGGACATGTTATTTGTTGAAGTGACTCATTGTTTTATAATGTTTTTTTACCACAGGGATACATGGTAGATCATTTGCTGATATATGAAACTATGATTAAGTTTTCTTCGTGGAAGAATGTTCCTTTGAATGATTGGTTGGCCTTGCTTTGGCAATTCAGGAGCCTTAGCCATGCCCTTTGTGCTTCACCTATTAATGATGAATTCATCAGGGCATTGTCTAAGCATTGTGCTTTGTCCAACTCGGTGGAGTTCTGGACAAGTTGTATGAAGAGATCAAAATCATTAGAAGTTGGATTTCGGCAGAGTTTGATAGTCATCTCTACCCTTTCATCCTCACATTCTTATATTCATGATCATGCTACTAAAGCGGACATAACAATTGATGAAGTCAAGCAGTCTGCATCTGATCTCATTAAAAGTGTATGATTTTTTGGGTTGATTGTATAACCTGGTTTCTATGATTATATCCAGAATTCACATACATATGCTGATCTTTTATGTACCGTGATTTTATGTTTTAGGTTCCTCTGTCCAACACTTCTTTGTTTCTTGCTTCACAACTATATTATGATTTGGGTGAAAGCATGATTGCAAGGGGATTAATGGTTGAGGTACTTAATTTTTTCTCAAATCTTGTAGTTCATAGATGTTTTATTTGCAGATTGAAGTACTATTTGCTTCTGTATGTCTTATTTCTTAAACTTATTGGTTACAAAATTATACCTCTAGAACTGATTTGCCTATCGGTTTCATTTGTCACTTTATCATGATAACTAATCTTTACTGAATTAATGTTGTGAGGATTTCTCTTCGAATTTTTATTTTACCAGGGATGAGTTAGGGACATATAGACTCTGAAGTTCTGGTTGACAAAGTTGAGTAGATCTTAGTACTAGAATCATATTGCCCGTTTGACCAATTACCCAATCCAATCCAATCCAACAGTCATTTTGCAACCTCTAAATCTCCACATCAACAATCCTTTAATGATTTTATTTCTAACCCGATCTGATCCAACCATCATTTTGCCACTTCTGAATCTCAACATCAACAAGCCTTTAATGATTTCAACAAGACTGGTTTGTGTAGGCTTGAAAATGGAACTTGATAGAAATTGTAAAGTGGTGAACCTTGTGGGTTGTGGGACACGAATATCATCCATCCTCGCTCTCCTTAAGTCAGCTCTTTGATATTGTTTTGGGGTGAATTTCATGCATACTAAAAGAAACGTGCAGTTTTTCAGAGAGGTGGTCTTGGGAAATAGATAATCGTTTACGCAATAAAATCTTATTTAGTACTTTGCACGTAAGATAAATAATGTGTTGCAATAAAGACGTTTCAAAGCAGTGGCCTTTAGTTTGGGGTCCTGCCTTTCACATTTATATAATTTTTTGTTACCCAAGACACCCTTTTTTGTAAAGTGACTTGGTTTTGTTGCATCCAATGTTTCTTCTGTAAACCATATATACCTTTCTGCTGTTCTGAAACATGTTTCTTGAAGGTAATTATAACAGAAAGGATCTATATTTTTTTAGTTGTAGCAAATCCTCTTATTGATGGTTACATCTGTTGCTATTCTTTTTACCTCTAATGGAAAGGAGCAAAATCGACATATTTCACGTAGGGGAGTTTAATAATTCTTCGTGACTGGTCGTTAATAATTCTTTTAAATTCGACCACACATCTTAACTTATTCTTTCTTCAAAATAGTGTTTTGCTGATTCAATCGAGACAATCATCCTTGTTTTAGTATTGAACTTCTACTCCTAGTGGATTACTTGTATGCGCCTAGAACTTAATTTTCTCTGACGGGTTATCTCTTCTCTTTAGGCTATTTCACATGCAAAAGAAGCCCATCGTCTGCGTAGCAAACTTTTTCATAAAAAGTTTATGTACTCAATAGAGCAACAAAATGATACTGTTGGTGCTAATGGAGAAGTCATTCAGAAACGCAGATTCGGCCTTGAGACTTTCCACATGCATTCCTCAGTGGCCACAGCAGCTTGGTCATCTGTTAAGGGTTCAAGCGACTTTGATGACGGTATACTGACTCCATGGAATATACTTCGATGCTATCTTGAAAGCACCCTTCAGGTGGAATTTCAATTTCTACGTTTTACATTGAGTTCCAACCTTTTTTATTTTGTTAAATTCCCGTCACATGTTTGGTAATATAATTCAGATAGGGACCCTTCAAGATATTGTTGGAAATGGTTCTGAAGCTGAAACTCTTTTACGATGGGGGAAGGACATCTCTTTTTTCCAAGCGTTGCCAATCTTTTTAGTCGCCTTTTCTGCTGCGTTAGGTAATGCACTTTGTCTACTTTGATGTTCTCCCACGTGTGTTCAAGCCAAATTTGTTATTCGCCCAATGAGGTCACTTACAAAGCACGAATACCTAAAGGTGCCTTGTATGTAATATATGTGATTGAAATACTGCATCTTCTCAGACCCTAGGTAGTACTTGTGAATATTATTTTGTATCCAGAAAAATAATTTTTATTTGTTGAACGATGATACCAAACTTGTAACACCCCAAGATCACATTTGCATATAAACATATATTTCCATATATGATGAAATATAATTTACACAAATCGTCCCATTAACTACAAAGGCTACATTACAAGTAGCTACCGAATTTTTCCACAATATCTCTATACAACACTTCAATACATAACAAGTATTCTGATACAAAAGAATAACATGTTGGCCCTGTTAGACTAAGTCAACTAGTCTAGTTTATATTATTAATATTGTCTAGGGTCCAAAGTGTAATTAGTTTTACCTATATAAGGTGTATCAGATTATTATTATTTTTCAATCAATACAAATCAATATCAAGTTTAATAGGCCCAATCTCCCATGCAAGTATAAATATAACACTTCACAATCTCCCTTTTCCCTTGTCCTTTGGTTGAGTATGACTTGTAATGCACATTCTTAGAACACAAAATGAGGGTTAGACCTTGAGGTCTAGTGAGAAATCCCTTTGATGGGAGGACTTGAAGTTCTCGCATCTGTGTGATGCGATGACTTAGAGTTATCGCATCCTATTGATGCGATAAAAAGTGGTTATCACATCTATATGATGCGAGGAGTGAGTTCTATCGCATCCTTGTGATGCGACAAGTTGTTTTATCGCATCCTATTGATGCGAAAAGAATGATTTATCACACCAGTGTGATGCGATGAGTTGAGGTCCTCGCACCAGTGTGTTGCGAGGAAATGAGGTTGTCTGACTCATGTGATGCGAGAAAGTTATATAATCATCTATATGATGCAACAAGTTCATTCATAATGTGTTTATCAAGTTATTTGGCTATTTTGATGTGATAAATGAGGTTTGCTATTTTTACAAATATGAGTTCATAAATGCGATTTGGTGATTATTCACCCTGTAATAGCGCACTAGTTGACCTTGTAAATATTCTTGAAATGCTTTAAGACAACTACCAAAAGTAGTTCAGAACAGGCTTGCTATTTCTCTGGATTGCATTATGTTATGGTCTTATCTTAATAAGCTGGTGGTCTTTTGTAACTGTTATAGAAAAAACTGTAATCATCGAGAGTAGGCCTACCATTTGCATGTGAATAAACCATATTCCCAGTATGTTCGGTGTGGCATTTCGTGAAGCAACTTGAACTACAATGTTCATCCATTTCCACTCTATAAGATTATAAAGTACCTCATTTACTAAACCTTGAGTTACTAGAAGACTTCCCCTTGATTGAGCTGATTGGTGGATCCAGATATATACAGTCAAACCTTGACCATTGAGGATATTATGAGTAAAACCTTAAACATTTAGGACAATGCTTTGCTGAATACACCCCAATTATTTCAAGTTTATCAAATATTAGTTGTATATCCCAACCTATTTTTTCTTCCAAGATTTTTGGCATATTTTGGGTTTCATGCCCATACTTGTATTTTGTATTTATGTTTGTGCTTCATTGGTCGCTTTAAAGTCAATAGGTATCCAGTTGAATTTTCGCTTGTTCTTTCCAGGAAAACTATACCGTAAGCAACAACTTTGGCATTTAGCTGAAAAGGAGCTAGAAAGTGCTAAACATATATTGGCTGATAACTGCAGTCTCATTTCTTGCTCGAAGTGCAGATTGGTTTTAGAAGTTACAGTTGATCAACAATTTGGTGATCTCTTTCGAAGCCGTTTCAATAGCACCACTGGTAATAAACTGTACGAGGGATTATCAAATGCTGAATTCTTTTATAGTTCTGCTGAAGAGAATCTGAAACTTTATGAATGGAGAAATTGTCTTAGTAATCCTGAGGAAGCAAGTGCAAGGAACACAATGTTCTGTGACGCTCTTTTGTCTGTTGGGAAAGCTGTAGGCATTTCATCTAATTGTGGAGATAAGGCCGAGCATAGTTCTCTCTCCAAAATTAGTGGGAAGGAAACAATCCAATCCAAAGTAACCAGGAAGAATAAGAAAACCACCAAGCCTTTACCACAGGAGCAACGGATGACTTCAAGAATTACTAGATCTTCTAAGCAAAGAAGTGAATATGCTCTAAATGAGGTGCACGATGATGTTTACAAGTTTTCAGATAGAAAGCAAGTATATGCTTGCACTGATGCACTTATTGGGAAGGGGCCACAGAACGTTGACCACGTTGCTGCTTGTGGATGTGAAGCTACATGTGTTTGTGACGAAGGAAAATGTTGGCATTGTCTTCCTTCTGAAGTTATGAAATCGTTGTCTTTGAGAAATATTATACAAACGAAATGGGAGTGCATTCGCAGGCGTCTTTTGCTTAGAGTACTCACCGGGAGAGGTATGAAAAAAATAAATTGAAAACCCTACTGTTTATCATTATAGATATGGACAAAATATTCATGTAAATTGCATTAAGTCACCGACTCACCGTATGTCATGTTTGCATAGTTTTATGTTTAAAAAGTTTACGTTGTTAATATTATTTAATCTACTCTAATAATATATATATATATATATATATATATATGAAGATATCGGCAACTTAAATTTGGGTCATGAACTTGCTGTATTTCAACATATTTAGTTGTTAGTATGTCAGGCTATTGTTTTGTTATTTATATACAATGACTCAGATCAATCAAGAATTTGCCAGGTTGAGGAAGTTAAATACTCGTATGTTCTTGAATCGCTGTTTCTGTTTGTGTTACCACATATATACCTGCAGTCGATCCCCTTCTATGCATGAGAATGCTTAATTTTTCTTTTAGTTGTTTTTGAAAATCATAGGTGTATAACTTGTCTGCATCCTGAGTTCTATATTAATTTGGCATACTTGTATTTTATTATAGTGCTATCAAGAAACTTCTGTTAGGACATAAAAATCTAAACCGCTCACTAATGGACTGTCAATTTGGTTTAGACATTTGTTGAATCGATTTCCCACTTCCCACTTCCCACTTCCCCCATCTGACAATCTTGTACATGACCAGGAAAATGCTTTGGGGTTCGTGGCGAAATTCAGCAAGCTCATAAAGTATTCTTGAAGAGCATATCCGTGCTACTTAGAAGAAGCACATTTCACCAATCACATTTCTCAATCTCGTTCACTTTTCTGGCTGAGTTAATTGAGAAAAATGTAACCGGAGATATCTTTGCGGTAGAGCACGCATCAATCCTCTACAATATATGCTGGTTTTCATTGAAAAGCTTTCGTGACAACGATACAAGGTATGCAATGCTATATTTAATCCTTACAGATTGTATTGTTGCATTTGTCCAATTAGATCCAAAGTTGTTGGATTCATAGTATTACCAAAAACAGAAAGCCCCAAATCCAATTTAATCTGATTCTACTTGTTTCAATAGGATTTAAGGTCTTAGTGGACTTATAACATGCCCATTTGCATGAGCTAATTGCAAAGATATTAAATCCAAATTAATTGAAAAGCAGAGTCGAAAGAACAGGAATCTAGAGGTACATCAAAGAAGAAAGACCCAGTCGATAGTAACTAAACTCAGACTTAAACATGCCACTTTTCATGATAGAAGTTTACAAAATTGTACCTCATGATTTATTTGAAATATGTTGCCAGAGGCATTAGTAGTGTTCTTTATGCTTAGACTGCCCTTTTTGAAATAATGCCTAGAACCACCATTTTACTTGGTATCTTGACACATAATTTTTAATACATAGTCCACATACGAAACAATTCCATGTCCAAAATTTTGGCTTCTAACTCATAGGATGTCTGTGATAGAAGTTCTACATTTTAAGTCACATGATTAGAGAAATAGGATCTCAAATGTACTTTTACATTAGGATGCCAGGAAGATTATGAAGATTCAAAAAGATTTCTAGCTTTCTACTATAATTTACATGTACCAAGATGGATGCATGTCAAAAAGTTCATAAAATCTTCTTCTAGCATGTAAAATTATGCTTGGTAGATTGTTCTCTAAACATAAATAATAATTTTAATCATACCTCAAAGCAGTTATACTTCAATTTTTAATGGTCAACAACACTCTGATCCTCATTTCTAGGATCCTATTCTTTGAAGAAATTTACCCTTTATTCTATGCTTTAAATTTCTACTGCTTGCCTTTATCTTATAGAGAAAGTTTTTAAGGATTTTTCTCAGTCCTGTCTTGTAGCATTCAAAATCTAAAATAGCGTTCAGGACCATTATTTCATATTGAGGTTATCACGATGGGAGTGGACAAAGAACAACGGTTCATATATATATATATATATATTATAGAACTTAAATATATGCTAATATGGGAACTGGACCTGAAAGAGGAGGAAAAGGATGATTATCAGAATTGTGGAATCTTGATAAAGATCAAAGAGAACAAAAGAAAAGAGAACTCGAGAAAGATCAATGTCAATACCAAGTTACCAGCAAGTAGTATGTAGAGTTGTATACTATAGTCAAAAGTCAAAAAGCAAAGTAGTAAAGATAAACTTGGTAATTTTGTGTATTGTATATGTAAATCACGATTACAATAAGGGATATATATAAGAGATACATTTACTGTGGTGCCGTCGGCATCTTTTCCAGATGATGATGATGAGATAGTCATCGGTGGACAACGAATGGTGCCATCAACATAGCCCAACAGGTTGTTTGTAACAAGGAACGGTTGAACCATTGCCTTCCAATAGCCATAGTTGTTTGGTGATAAAGTGAAACCAAACTTGTGGGAGTTATGGGTGGTTTTCTCGGTTGGAGTGAAAGCTGCAATAGTTATCATTGGACAGAAGGTGCGACAGCCGTAGGGTAGAAGACGGGTGCGGTAGTTTTAGGGTTGCCTTGTGATGGCAGAGGGTGGTCAGCACAAGGTGTGGCAGCCGTAGGGTAGAAGACAGGTGCGGTAGCTTTAGGGTTGCCTTGTGATGGTAGCTGTAGGGTGGCAGCTGTAGGGTGTCTAGGGCTGGCTCTTATACCAAGATAAACTTGGTAATTTTGTGTATTGTATATGTAAATCACGATTACAATCAGGGATATGTATATATATATATATATATATATATATATAAGAGATACATTTACACTCTAGACCCTCTAATATAATTATATATATATATATATATCACACTTAATTGTCTAATAAGTAGACAACAGTGAAGGACCAAAGCCTTCTGCTTGGTGCTTGCTTTGTACCATAGTCTTATAAAGTGGCGAAGAAAGCATCGTAGAAGAAGAAAGCAGAAGAAAACGATGAGTAAAGATGAGTAAAAGACAATGAAGATCAGTTGATGTCCTAACAACAAGAAAACAAAAATACAAGCCCTACTAAGAAATAGGCCAACTAAAAAGTATCGGCTATAGCACGCAATTACGACACCTTGATTTGATATTTAACTAAAGTAATTCCAGTAAGCATTTGTTTGACTTATATTTGATGGCATTAAATATTAACCTCAAATCACGAAAATATGAAGACTTGGTTTCAAATCGTAAACTTGAAATTATAAATCTTCGTAAAGTTTTCTCTAGCTTGTACTGGAAAATAATTCATTCTCCATTTTGATTTGTGGAATAGCTTTTTTTTAGTTAAAATTAAATAGTTTATTTTTATGAAGAATTGCACGTCTTTTGATTCTACTAATGCGCCATCTTTTTTCTCTTTGTTTCTAGGAACCATGATTGTGACTCATTCATTCCTGCTCCAGTAGTTGTGTCGGGTTTGAAGTTAGCTTTCATACTTTGCCGGGAGGTTCCAATGCTTTTTCAAAAGGTTATTATAGCTCCAAACTTCTGGTTTATTCATCTCTTCTTTGAAAAATAAACATGAAGTTATAGAATGATGTATTGGTTCATGAATTGACAATTAGCTAGTGCTTGTTTGAGCGTTTTGCCTCCTAAGCCTACGTAATTGGCCACCTAAGATTAAGCTTTCCTACATGCATTGATTAGTTAGGGACACTTAATCGGCTGTTAAGGAGTTTTCTATATTGCTTCATCTCAAAAGTTCAAGCAAAGGTCAATTGTTCTTTTTTTCAACTTCTCTCAACTAGGAGAGAATCTTACCAATCTTTCTTGGTAAATTTATCAGTGAAACTTCCAATATAGCATGTGATCAGCATTCTAGTTCTCAGATGTTTGCATAATATAGACAAAATTGTATTTTTATATATTTAAATGAATTCTTATTTTGCTTATGCGTTTGCCTAACCTAGCATAGGCGGTTTGGAGGTTTACTTGATTGTCTAGCTTTGCTTAATGTTTTTTTCATAACAGTGACGAGATAAATAGGTAACTCTAACACTAAATATTATTTTATTCAAACTATATTATTTTGAATAAAGCTTGCCTAACACATTTTTACTCCCTGTTTAACCAATTAAGGATTAGTGTTTCCGCCTAGCGCTTTTAGAACACCGGAATCTTAGGTGTTGTTTGGTTTGCAGAATTCAAAGGAATTGGACCAAATTCCAATTCCTTCATTTGGTTCACATATTGAAATGGATGGAATCCTTTGAATTCCACAAATTGATGAATTCATCATTTCCTGGCATAAGTGAAGGAATTGAATTCCATCCATTTACATCCAAATTAACCAACACCGCCACCCCCTGTCCCAACCATGACCATGTCACCATTGTCACCGTCACGACCCCCCTAACCATGCTGTTGT